GATACACCCTCCTCTGTCCCAGCCAGTCTCCGTGTGGCTGCCAAATCTATATTCTTCAAGCACACGTATGACCACGTCTTTTCCCTGCTCAAAAAGCCCCAGCGGTTCTTCATTGCCTTTCGCATAAATATAAACTTCTCTCTTTGGCTTTTACAACCCTTAACAATCCAACTCCGACCTCGCCTTCCAGGCTAATTGGCAAGCGTTCTCTTCCAGGTGCCAGCCAAACTGACCCGTACCTTGAGTTCCCAATTGTCCCCTAGAAAAGATGTCCCATCATCCGCGACTTCGGTGACTTTTCTGATGCTAGAAGACACTCTTTCCATACCTCTGCTTCATAGACTCTACATTTCTCTGAGGCTCAGTGCCATGTCTGCTTACTGCGCAGGCGGTCCTGATCTCCCCAGTTCTTAATGCTTTCCTCCTCCCAGGGGTGTGCTGGTAAATGTTTAACAACCAGCTCTCCAACCCCCCCCATACCCATGATACACTTTTATGTTCAATATACATTGCTCTCTATCACTTTCTTAAGTTTCCACGATCAGCAAGACAAAAAATCAAACCCTGATCTGCAGTGTTTTCCAATTTCCAAGGCACAAATGCTCACACTGAAAATTGAACCATCTCTTGTTTGGAGCTGGCTCCTATCCCTGCAGCTGCTTTGGTTTCTTTTAAATTGGCAGAGGAGGGAGCCATAGAAAGAAGGAGATGCTTGTTAAGTGGCCAATGAAGTGACAAAGCCTCACAAAATCAGGGTGCGTTGGCTTTGTGCATTGCGTGGTGTTTACTTTTCTGTGTTTGTGTTTACTTTTCTGTGTTTGTGTTGCTTCCTCCCCACTCCCAGTGTGTAAATTGCTGGAGGGCAGGATTGCTTCTCAGAGCCTGGCAGCACCTGAATATACACGAATTGTTGATCACGTGTAGCTTATCGTACACTAGCTAACCCACCCAACCAGCAGCCTGCCTGTATGGGGTTTCCCAAAAGTCTCATTGTCTGTTTCAGCTATTAAAGTTGAACTACACCTCTGCTTTATGGATGGAGAGAGAGAGAGACAGAGAGAGTGTTGTACAGGCCACTTCTAGATTGTAATCTCCCCGAGGACAGAGGGCTGCCATTTTCTGCGTTCAGGGATGGCTTTTAGCTGGGATGTGTAGAGGAGGAAGGCTTGAGGAGCATTGCTGGTGCACAGCGAGGCTTCTCATTCTTACCCCTGGTGACTTTGGACAGCTTTGTCTAACAGCAGGGAGAGAGAGAGGATCAGACCCAAGTGAACTTCAGGGCTCAGGAAGAGGTAGTTGGACCATGCAGATTTTCCAGGGAATTCTCCATTACGTGAGTCTTTTCTTCTTTCTTGAACAAATAGCCTAGTCTAGTGCCCAGAGCACTGAGCTTGGAGGCAGAGTCAGAAGGGCCTTGGGTTTGAATCCTGGCTTTAGCACTGACTAACTATACAACCTGGGGTCGACAGCTTTACCTTTGGAAGCCTCAGTTTCCTCACCTGTAAAACAATGAAAGCTTTATTTGCATTACCTGCCTCCCAGGATTGCTTTGAAGGAAACACCTTGGAGCCATAGCCCTATGTCTCTTCCCTTTTACAAGCAAACTCCTAAGAAGCCTTCTCCACTGGCCTCCACTTCCTCTCCTCTTCTTGTCTCACTTCTCAGCCTTTTGCAGTCTGGTTTCCAACCTCATCACTTACATGGAACTGCTGTCTTCAGACTTCCCACTGATCTCTTAGCGGCTAACTGAGGAGCTTCTCTCAGTCTTCATCCTTCTTGACTTCGCTGTAGTGTCTATCATTGTTGAACACCATCTTCTCCTGCCTACTCTTTCCTCTCTGGGTTTTTGTGAATCTACTTTCTTCTAGATCACTTAATGGCTCTCAGACTACTCTCCTGGGCTTTCCGGACACGACTGCTGCCATTTGGCTCTCCTCCGACCTCTCTGACTGCTTTTTCTCTGTCTCCTCAGCTGGATCACCATCCATCTCCCACTCCCTACATGGGGTTTACCTCGGGCTCTATCCTGGGCTTTCTTCTGCTCTCTGTTCTTACTCTTGTTGACCACATCAGTTTATATGGTCACAACCAGCAGCTCATGCAGATATTAACATTAACTTAACTTCTTTTCCGAGTTTCATTCCCACACCATCCACTGACTGTTGGACATTTCCAGCTGGATATTTCACTAGCATCTCAACCTCAACAATTGCTAAAGGAATTCATTTTCCCTCTCCATAAAGTCTCCCCTTTTCCTACCTTTTCTCTTTCTTCTGATGGCACCACTATCTTTCCAGTCACCCATATTTGCCACATCAGAGCCATCTTCCACTCTTACCTTTCCCATATATGACCAACTGTCAAGTCTTGTTGATTCTACAAAGGCAAAATGAGAGAGTCCTTGTCTTCCAGGAAGCTTCTAGTCTAATGGAGAGAAACAAACTTATGCCTTTGTAGCTTTAGTGCCCAGTGCAGTGGTTGACACTTGGTCTTTAATAAACACTTGGTACATGTATGAATGGACACCATGTCTCATGTACTATAGGCATTATGATACCCATTTTAAAGAGGAAAAAACCGAACTTAGAAAGGGTAAATCAATTGTCCTCCAACTTCTCCAGCTAACAAGCATCAGAGCAGGATTTGAATTCAGACTTCTCTTGACTCCAATCACAGTCCGTTTATATTGTGCCACATGGTCTGATGCCCTACTCCACAATTCTCAGGGTGGGGTGGTGAGTCCTTGACATTCTAATTTCAAGGTCAACGGCCTTCAAGAGAGAAGAGAAAAGTAGAAGGAAGCATGTGAATGAGTCATTTCTATTAGTGCTTTTGATCATCTCCAACTTATCATGTATGTGTATCTATAGCTGTATCTTGTTTGTACAAAGTTATTTGCATGTTTGTTCCCCATGTAGGCTGTAAGCTCCTCGAGAACAGGGGTTATCTTTTACTTTTCTTTGTATTCTTAGGGCTTAGAATGATGTCTGACACACAGTAGATGCTTAATAAAAACCTTTAGCCTGACTATGCCAGGGATCCCTATGCTAGGGATACAAGTAGAAAAATAAGGCAATCCTTACTTTCAAGGAGCTCACCTTCTAATGGGGAAGACAATATATGTGGGGTGACATATTAAAAAATTCAAGAGATATAGTTCCTGGGCAATTAATCATTTTATTAATCATTTCTAGAAGATAATTAATAAAAGGGGTCAGTGGCACTCTTCAATACCAACGACGCCTCATGGAACCCATTCAACAGCTTATACGCCCTTGGAAGAGTGGATGTTTCTGAGGGTGGCAATCAACTCTGATTGGTTAACAATTAATGAGAAGAATGAATATTATAATGAGATATGGACTCATTCTAATGAGGGGCTGGGAGATATGACTTTGATCACTCTCACTCCCAGACTGCTCCCAGCCTAAGCAATCCAGACAAAGGATCTACTCCCCCCACCCACCCAAGACTGAGTAGAACAAAATGGGTTGAAATTCACCGTAGATTAAGTTGAAGTCTCTCCCACTCAGGATCAAAACACATTGTACCCAGGTAATTTGAGCAATGTCATACATCAACAATGTCCTTCAGAGACTGAACAACCTCCAGGTTTCTGAAAAATCCTGGTCCTGATCAATAATTGATTATTAATATGGGAGAGAAACAATCATTTCTCTCAATGAAAAGTTTTGGCTGCAAATAAGATAGAAATGTCCCATGGCCCTCAGGGTGCAACAGCAAGGCTGATGGCAATGCCTCTTCTTTGATATCATTTTCACCAACAAAATCCTATCAGTTCTTGATGTTGAGTCATTTGACAGTGCTGAGAATATTGTTTTACAAGAACTTTCTTTTGAGGGTCTTCAATAGATATGGCTGTTGACCCTGAAAGAGCACTTGTCAGCCTGTATTTCCACAGAAATTGCTTCCCAGGATGGTGGCTAAGGGCATTGGGTTTGGAAGCACTGCCATTCCTGGGGTTGTGGGTTTGGGTCTTGGGATACCTCCATCAGAATCTGAGGGGGGAGATGGTGGTCAAGGTTGTGGTGGTGGTTTGGCTGCCTGGCACGTGCACATCCCCCAGGATGCCTGATGCTTCATGTAGGCTGCTTTGCCTGACCAGAGAGTGGCAGTTGGCTGATACTTGGTGAGTATGACTGGTGCTTTCTCTACAAGAGTTATCTCGTCAGATGATAGTTGTGAGGGCTGGGCATCAGCAGGACCAGCAGTCTGGTGGTGGGATGCTGCTGCTCCCAGGGCTCCTATGCCTATCTGGCTGTTGGTGGCAGTTGGCCAGCTGTTGTAGCTGGTGATGACGAAGGTGGGCCCTCTCTGCACAATAACCTTTCTTTCATTGGCTGTGAGGGCTGGGCTAGAAGCAGGTCAGGGGTTTGGAGACCACTGCCTTTTCTAACACTCTTGAGTGCAGGGTCCTGGGCTGTCTCCCTCAGAGTCTGAGGGTAGATGGTGGTCAAGATAGTGGTGGTGATCTTTTCTACTTGGCACATGCTACCTCCTCTCCCCCCACATCCACAGGGTACTTTGCTGCTTAAACCAGCATTCACATTACATTACAACATTATTTAGAATTTAACTCTAAAAGAAAACACAATACTTAATTCATTTGTTCTTTCCTTCATTTCAGGGCACTATGCTAGGGACTGTGAGTAATAAACCAATATCTAAGAATGATTTTGCTCAAAGGGTGAAAAGAAATAAAAGTTTTACTTTATGCGGCGATACAGGGAGAGAAGTAGCTAAGAGAAAAGAGAAAATTGGTTTACTAATAAATGAAGAGGTGGAAGATATCCAGACTTCAAGGGAGAGAGACTAAACTGCTCTTAAAATATTTTTCTTGAAGTCAGAAATTACCAGTTTGAGTTTCATAATATCTGATGGTGTCTTTAATTATCTAATGGGATGGAGTAAAGTTTTCCCTAAAAAACTTTTCAAAGAAATTGGTTTTAATTAATTTTTTTTTCTTTTTGGCCAAGCAGCAATTAGGGCTTGGTGGAAGCAGGGGAAGCTGGAGAATGCATGGATGGGGAAGATGGCGCTGAGAATTCAATTAACGACAGTGAGCTGCAAATCACTGGAGACGAAATTTGCTCATGTTATAAAAACATAATGAAATGTAATGTTAATGATGAAATATAACATTGCAACACCCACCAACTGCTATCAGGTAGAAGAGCATTTTGTGTAAATTATAGGGTTTTATAACTGTTGGCAAATGACTAGTTTTATGGATCCCCCAAAGAAGTCAAAGACTGAAACAAATTAAACATTCACAGCAGCGATCCTCATTGTGTTAGCAAAAAAAAAAATCCAGAAATGAGGGATGCCCATTGATGAGGGAGGGCTGCTATATAAATGCCATGGCATATTATTGGGCTATAAGTTATGACAAATATGAGAAATGAGGGAAAATTGGTATGAACTGACACAGAATGAAGCAAGCAGGATGGAGAGAACACTATACACAGCTTCAGTAATGTAAATGAACAGATGTCTAAAAGGGTAACTGAGAAACCAGGGAATGGAGCCTCTATTATGGCAAAGAAGGAGATGAGAAAGGAATTTGTAATTTTCATATTAGTCAATATGATATGTATAATGAATGTGGAGTTTTCTCCAGAGCATCCTCTCTGGCTCAGGAGTCTGAGCTCACAATGCAGCTTAGACTGATTCATTAAAACTTTGAAAACGCTCACAATCCGGGGACCTTAAGTGAAGAGAATCAAAGATGGTAGAACCTGTTCCCGTCACAGAACTCCGGTTCTGTACTTTAGGGGAAGTGGCCATGACCCTCAAAGACTTGACTCCAGAATTGTTGTATTGTGGGACTTAGGGGTTTCTCCTGGGAAACCTCTAAATGATTGTTTGTAATCCACCTTCCCTCCTCCTTCCCCACTTGTGATTTAAGTATATACCCTGTGCTTTTATGTCAGCTAAGAGAGAGCATTCCTCACGTTGAAACAGATTAATTAGACTCCTTGATTGCTCGTACTCCCATCGCTAGGCCTGCTCTGAGCACTCTCAGATAAGAGACTGGCTTAGTAAAAATCCGTTAACAGAGAGGATCACAAGATTAGAATATTATATACAACCTCAGATATATTCTTGTGCTGGATGGGTTTTGCTTTTTTTTTTTCCTTTGTAGTAGTAGTAGATTCGATCTGATGGGGAGATGAATGACAATTGAGAATTATATAAAAATAAAATAGGTGGATGGATGGATGAATGAATGAAAGGGTATTTATTAAGCATGCACTGTGTGCCAAGCACCGTGCTATGTGCTGGGGATAAAATATAAGAAGCAAAGACAATCCCTGACCTCGAGGAGTTGGGGAAGCCACATGACAAAAGATATGGTGGCCAGGGAGATGCCCTACCATCCAGAATGTTACAGGCAATGTGATCAGGCATTAGGGAAGTGGATTAGCACATCCCATTAAGGAACAAAGGCAAAGTTGATTTGATCGTGGTAGCCGTTTTGGGGATGAAGGAGAAGAAAGTATGGAATGGAGAAGTGGGAAGAAAAAGAAGCCCCTTCTCCCTACCTCCTTACCCCCACAAAGCTATTGGTAGCTGGCAAAGAGGAAGAGACATCCAGAGTCAGCAATGCAGCGAAACATGTTGGAGAGTGATCTGGGGGGAGTCATTCACTAACCATGAGAGCTGGTCCCCAGGGTAGATATCATGCCAGTTATCAACAAAATGTATTTGTGAAGAAAATTACTCGATAGGTTTCTGATGATTATTTTTCTTTGGCACTTAATACCTGCTTGATAAATGTTCATTCATTCATTTGTTCATTCATCATTGATTTAAAGCTGAAGGGATCTTCTAGTCAGTCAGTAAGCATGCCTGCTATGTGCCAGGCACTGTGCTAAGCCCTGCAGATAAACAAAAAAAGAAAGAAAAAAAGACCATCCTGGCCCTCGGGGAGCCAACAAGCAAACAGATATGTACAGACAAGCTATAAACAGGATAAGTAGGGAATAATTAACAGGGGGAAGCCAGTAGAGTTAAGAAGGATGGGGAAAGATTCCTGCAGAAGATGAGATTTTTAAATGGGACTTCGCTTGGGACTGGTTGAATGCCATGATTTACAGTTGAACTGAGTCCTAGAGCTGTTTGGTGACTTGCCCAATATCATGCAGATATTGTCAGAGGTGGGATTTGAACCCAGGTCCTCTTAGTCCCCTTCCGGGTTGGACTAGATGGCTGCTCACATGCCCTTGTGGCTCTTATGGCTCTTGTGGCCTTGTGGCAATCTGCCTGAGGCCAGTTTGCACTCAGGTCTTCCTGACTTCAGGTCCAGCAGGCTTAGATGCCTTATGCTTAAGGTCACATCTCATATGATAAAACCCACCATACTGAAATCCAACCTGAAATCACCAAGGTCATGGAGCTGTGGGTCCCTCAAATGACAAATCTGGTCCATTTCTACTAATCATTGCAAGATAAATGTGTATCTCTCTCCCCACCTCAGCCCCAGATAAGGCAAATGCCATTTATTTTATATAGTATTTGACAAGTCTTCTCATGAGACTTTAGCTTGAAAAATTAATTAAGGTTTGGTTATTGACCTGAGAGGCTTGAGCAGGCTGAATTATTAAAGGCAGACACTAAGTGGGGAAAGCTGAGTGGGCACTGCAAGATGGCTTGACCTTATTGAGTATAACTCAGGAAAGGGAATAAAAGTCCTAATTACCTGAGAGAGAGCTTCTGGGGCTTTGCTACCAAGATGATGGGTTGTGGATTGACTTTGACCCATAAATCTGTGATTGGTATTCTTAACAAAGGATTGGAGAGTGGAGAAAGCTAGCATTTCTGTAGCTTCATTTGAATTCTTGCCACTCTTATAGAGCTGGGCATCTCTTTGGCCATTTGCTCAGATGTTTGTTTGCACTGTGGGCTGGGCATATGGGACTAGATATTATCATGGGTAGAGTGGCTACTAGTCAGTTTTCTTCTTCTCTCTCTCTCTGTCCTTACATTCCATTCCATTCCATTCCTTCCTTCCTTCCTTCCCTTCCTTCCTTCCTTCCTTCCTTCCTTCCTTCCTTCCTTCCTTCCTTCCCTCCCTCCTCCCTTCCTTCCTTCCTCCCTTCCTCCCTCCCTTCCTCCCTCCCTTCCTTCCTTCCTTCCTTCCTTCCTTCCTTCCTTCCTTCCTTCCTTCCTTCCTTCTCCTTCCTTCCTCCCTTCCTCCCTCCCTCCCTTCCTTCCTTCCTTCCTTCCTTCCTTCCTTCCTTCCTTCCTTCCTTCCTTCCATCCTCCTTCCTTCCTTCCTTCCCTTCCCTTCCTTCCTTCCTTTCTTCCTTCCCTTCCTCCCTCCTTCCCTTCCTCTTTCTTTTTTTTTCATAGCATACCTTTAGTTTATTTTTTTTTCCTGTAGGCTGAGCAAAGAGGACATGACTGGAAAATTTTAAAAAGTTGATTAGTTAAATAATATTCAACTTGAAGAGAGGAAACCTAATATCTCCAGGGGAAAAATAAGGTGCAATTCACCAATTCATTGGATAGGACAACTTCTGAAGTAGTCTAGGCACAACATATAATAGGAAATTGGATACTGGTTGAGAATCTAATATGACAGCATAAATAGACCCATGCTTTTGGGGATACAGATACACAAGAAAAGACAGATATATTTACCCTTTTTATTATTCTAGCTAGCTTCCTTCATGAGCACTACTTCCTGATCTGGGTAAGTCATTTGCCTCCAAAGGCTAGAAACAAACCCAAGAGAGATAAGAAAAGAACAAGGACATGAGCAAAGAGGGAGAAACAGAAATGACTGTGTGTGAATGTGTGTATACACATGTGTGTATGTTGCTGAAAATCAATTGGCCAGTTGGAGGAAAGGGATAGTGAGTTGATGTAGACCATAAAGCCTAGATGAAAACAATAACTATAATGAGAAACTTCAAATATTAGGACATCAGTCAGGAATTGAGACCCTGATGAATTATTGATCAGTGACTAACTGTTTTATCTTTAAGAAAGGAGAGGAAACAATTAGGGAGATTATTATTCTGAGCAATAAAGAGGATATATATGGCAAAGTAAAAATGAGGGAAACCTTGGAGGGTGATGATCCTTCCATTATGGGATTTGTGATAGATAATTGGGGAAACTGAGGCATAGTCTCAAATCTCATCTCCCTGATTAGAATAGAAGCTCCTTGAAGAGTGGGGATCGTTTCATTTGTTGTACTTATATTCCTCAACACATAGCACAGTGCCTGGCACACAGTAAGTGTTTATTAGTTGGCAAATATCCTAGATTTTAGAAGAGCAGCATCTCAATTTTTAGCTTCTTTGTTCTTACAGCACCACATTTTCACATTCTGATGTTCAAATTTGCATTATATTTGCTGGTTTATGTAGTCAGCTTCTTGAGCTAGGGTCTCTTACATCTTTGTCTGTCCCTGGGACCTAACAGGTTGCTCTCTACATGATTCTGGTCTTTGTAAGCTCAGTGCTAAGCACAGTGCCTTGGATGAAAGGGATATTAAAGAATGTTCACATTGAATGAATGAATGGACTTGTTTGGGAAGGTCAAATTCTCCAAGACTTATAGTAACAGAAAAATGGCAAAATGTTTGGAGATTGGAGTGCCATTGGAGTCAATCAATCAATCGATCAACCAAAAAGCATTTATTAAGTGCTTACTATATGTCAGGCACTGCGCTAAACTCTAGGGATTAAAAAAAAGACAGAAACAGTCCCTGCCTTCAAAGAAGCTCCCAGTCTAATTGGGGGAGACAATATGTAAGTAACTGGGCACATACAAATTCTGTCCAGAGCAGATGGAAGGGAATGTCTGACGGGAAGCCACTAAGCCCTGGGGGATGAGAAAAAGCCCGTGAAGAAGGTGAGGGGGAGGTGAGGGTAAAGGAAACCAGGGACTCTAAGGCACAGAGGGAAGGAGGGAAAACACCCCAGCACTAAGGCATGGGAGAAGAAATGGGAGACGGAGTGGGTGTAAGCCACTGGAGCTGGGTTGGGGAGTCCATGGAGGACGGTAAGGAGAATGGAAAGGCAGGAAGGGGCCGGTTTACCTCTAAAATGTCCAAGAGACGACTTTATGTTTGATCCCGGAGGTCACGGAAGCCATGGTGGTGTGCTGAGCTCTGTGGGAACCTCTGTGGTGTGGT